AATTTACACAAGGCTCCCTTTACACACACACACATACACACACACCCTCTCCTGTTCTAGGTGCATACCCTTTGAGCTTATTTTTTTCTTCACTTTTTTTAATTTCCCCGGTTCTCTTAATGCTATTTTTTAGTAGCAGTGACCTGACAGTTTTAGGTAGATCACTACATCTCTGCCATCCTTGAATTTTATATCCAGGGGTTTTCTCAGTTGTTGGTGTGAAGTATCAGCATTCTAATGAATATGACAAATCTCTGCCCTGAATCACACTGCAGTTTATCTACAGTGAATTGCACAGATGGCTTTCTCTTTTCCCCCAAATAACATGAAATTTGATGTTTATTTTGGCAATTCTTATGTGACCTTATTTACCCTAGACTATTCAGGGCTTCTATTACCATGTTTTGAGTATTTGTGTGGAGTTCTGTTTGTGGACTAATTTGAATGAGAAAATAACAAAATTTAGGACAACAAATGCAGAGTCATTTTTGAGCTCTCTGATCTGATTTTTGTTTTCCTGACAACTTTAGACTACTCAGTTAAACTGTTAGAAACAAAAGCTGTACTTTGGTAGATGACTAAATGCTGCAAATAAATCTTAAAAGACTTGTTGCGCATAATTTCCCTTCACTAGTGAGATTATACTTATTTGCTACTTTCACTGATTTTTTTGAGCTCACAGTTTAAAGAAATAGATTAGTCTAATCATTCAAGCCAAAGGAACTGTTTTAAAATCTAGCTTCCTTGTGCAGTCCTAGATTGGTGTGTAAGTGTCCTTAGAATTATTTCCCCCTCACCAGTCTATGTGGCAAAATATACATAACATGAAATTTATCTTTTTTTTTTTAAGTACATAGTTCTCTCGCATGAAGTACATTCATGCTGTTGTGCAGCCACCGCTGCCACTCACTCTCACTTCATATTCCCCATTTGAAATTCTGTATTTCATACTTCTTTTTTATAGTTTGTTCATCAAACAGAATAGTTCTGTAAGCAAAGTATTTGAAAAGTGGCGTTAATGACTGGGAGTGGGAGAGTAAAGTTATGTCTTCATTTGTGGCATTGTCCCTTAACCTCTACTTTTAGAGCACCCTAAAATGATCTAAGAAATTCTGTAATACCTCATATTACAGAATATAAGCTGTATAGCTTTTTTGCTTTCTGTTTAATTAGGTATAATTTACAGAAAAAATCTTCAATTTTCAGTGTACAATCAAGTTTTGATAAGTGTATGTAGATATTTACCTACTAACGCAGTTATGATATAGAACATTTCCATGATCGCCATGAGCTTCCTAATGCACTGTGGTAGTCATTTCCTTCTCTCTACCTTCAACCTTAGCCACCACGTGTGTTCTGCTTTTTGTCACTATTCTTTGTCTTTTTCTAGGATTTCATATAAGTGGCATCATTTTGCTATATCAATAGGTTCTTTCAGTTAGCCCGATGCTTTTGAGATCTACCTATGATTTTGGGTTTTTGTAATTCCTGTTTATTATTCAGTAGAATTCCATTAATTTGATAGAGCACAATTTGTTATCCATTCACCAGTTATTAAATACTTGTCTCATTTCTTGTCTTTAACTGCTATAAAACTGCTGGCTGTAAATTTGTTTGTGAACTTACGTTTTCATATATTTCACTCAAAAGTGGGATTGCTGGCTTATATGGGAAGAGTATGTTTACAAGAAACTGCCAAACTCATCAGAAATGGCTATAACACCGCTTCCCCCACCAGCAGCCTATGAGTTGCAGTTATTCCATGTCCTCTCTAATACTTGATATTTTTAGTCTTAACTGATTAGCCATTTTAGTAGGTGTATAATGGTATTTCATTGTGCTTTTAATTTGATTTTTCTGATGACTAATGATGTTGAAAATCTTCCCATGCACTTTGTACAACTTTTTAATTTTGTAAAACATCTGCTCAGCCCTCTTGCCCATTTTTAAAGAAGTCATTGCTCCTGTTAATACTTAATGATAAGAGTTATATG